CAGCTGCGGCTTACCGTTCCATCATACGCGACAAGGATTGTTGTCAATATACTCTGCGCGCCACTCCCTCGGAAGAAACCCGTGCCCGGTTTGCTTCTGCATCAGCTCCGGACACTTCCGGTCTACCTTCCGAGTACCACGAGTTTGCTGATGTCTTCTCCGAGCAGGAAGCTTATAATCTTCCTCCTCATCGAGAATTCAATCTCAAAATCGAACTCCTGGACAGCGAGGAGCCTCCGGTTGGTCACGTCTACTCCCTCTCGCCTACTGAGCTCGCTGCCCTCCGGGACTTCATCGACAAGAACTTGAAGTCGGGATTTATATACCCAACCTGTTCGAGTCATGGAGCTCCTATTCTCTTCGCCAAGAAGAAGGACAGCAGTCTCCGGTTGCGCATTGACTACCGAGGACTTTATCAGATCACGAAGAAGGACCGCTATCCGCTTCCTCTCATCGCTGATCTCCTTGATGCTCCCGGAAAAGCTTGCATCTATACAAAACTTGATCTCCGGCACGCTTACCACCTACTCCGGATTGCTCCGGGTGACGAACCTAAAACGGCTTTTCGTTCTCGCTATGGGTCCTTTGAATTCCGGGTCGTTCCGGAAGGCCTTACCAATGCTCCGGCCGGTTCCTGAACAGTTTGTTCGCAGATCTGTTGGGCGTGTACGTCGTCATTTATTTGGACGACATATTGATCTATTCCGACAATCTGTCCCAACACACCGAACATGTTCGGGAGGTGCTCTGGCGCCTCCGGAAGGCCGGACTCTACTGCAAACTCTCCAAGTGCGAGTTCAGCGTCACCACCTCTGAATATCTCGGTTACATCCTGTCGCCGGAAGGCTTCCGGATGTCTCCAGACAAGGTTTCCGCCATTGTTGATTGGCTGGAACCCCGGAAAGTGAAGGACATTCAGTCCTTCCTTGGGTTTTGTAACTTCTATCGGCGTTTCATCTGGAACTACTCAGTGATCATGATCCCTCTTACTCACCTCACTCGTTCCAACGTCCGATGGGATTGGACCCCGGTTTGCCAACTCACTTTTGACACCCTCAAGCACGTGTTCACGGAGGCTCCGGTACTTTTGCACTGGATTCTGTTCCAGCAGCTCACTGTCGAAACCGCCACCTCCGACTACGCAATCGCCTCGATTCTCTCCATCCTTGGAGATGACGGCGAAATCCATCCCATTGCGTTCCGGTCTCGGACACTTGGTCCGGCCGAACTCGACTACGACACTCACGACAAAGAGCTCCTGGCCATCTTTGATGCCTTTAAACACTGGAGGCATTATCTCGAAGGACCGGAACTTCCGGTCGATGTCGTAACCGACCACAATGACCAAAATCCTCACTCGTCGCCAAGTCCAATGGTCGGAATACCTGTGCCACTTCAATATGGTTATCCGGTTCCGTCCGGGTAAGCTCAGAGCTAAGCCAGACGCTTTGACTAGACGATGGGACGTCTACCCTAAAGAGGGGGATAGGGCTTACGGCCAATTGAATCCTCAAAATTTTTGCCCCAGTTTCACCCAAGATCAACTCACCATGTCCCTCTGGGCCACATTCCTCGAGGAAATCACCCTCCGTTCCTCCATCATTATGGATGTTGAGAAGCTTTATTCCAACATTTGTGCCCATTACAACGATGATCCAGCCACCGTTGCGGGATTCGCTTCTGCAGCCTCCTGCACCATTCCGCACTGGAAACTCGGCCCTTCCGGCATGCTCCGGCTCTACGATCGCATTTATGTTCCGGTGGTTTCCGGAGACGCTCTGGACCAGCTCCATGTACGTGTTCTGCAGAATTTGCATGATCATGAGTTGGCTGGCCACTTTGGACAGAATCACACTTTAGCACTCGTACACCGTGAGTACACTTGGCTGGAGGTCCGGACCTTCGTCCGGGACTACTGTCGGTCGTGTGTTCTATGCAAGCGCAACAAAAAGCCTTGGCATCGGCCTTACGGACTCCTGAAACCACTTCCGGTTCCGCTCCGGCCTTGGCATTCCATTTCCATAGACTTCATTGAGCAACTCCCTCTCTCCGGCGAGTTTGACTGCATTCTGGTGATTGTTGATCGGTCATCTAAGCAGGTCATTCTCATTCCTTGCGATACCCATATCAATTCGCTGGAGCTTGCTCGCCTCTTCCTTATTCACGTCTTTTCCAAACACGGCGTTCCGGCACACATTACGTGCGACCAGGGCTCCGAATTCATTGCTTCATTCTTCCGGTCGCTGGGCGAACTACTCAATATGGAGATCCACTACACCTCCGGTTATCATCCGGAGGCAGACAGTCAAACGGAACGTATGAATCAGACTGTTGAGCAATATATTTGCATCTACTGCTCTTACCAACAGGACGATTGGGACCGACTCCTTCCGCTCGCGGAATTCGCTCTCAACAACGCTCTGAATGCTTCGACCGGCATCTCCCCCTTCTTCGCCAACAAGGGTTACAATCTGGCAATCACGGTTCATCCGGAACATGATGTTGTAAACATGTATGCCAAGGATTTTGTCGTTGATCTTCAGGAACTTCACCAGTTCCTCCGGAAGCAAATCACTTTTGCCCAGGAGTGTTACAAGGAAACCGGAGATCGGAAACGGTCACCGCAACCTCTGCTTTCAATCGGCGATCAAGTTTTCATACTCGCGAAACATCTTCACACCAGCTGGCCCACTCCGAAAATCTCGGAGACGTTCCTTGGCCCTTACGAAGTTATTGGCAAACCCAGTGCCGCTTCTTACACCATTTGGCTTCCAAAGTCGTTGTCACAGGTCCATCCAGTTTTCCACATTTCCCAACTCGAACCGCACGTTCCGAACCCCTTCCCAGGACGCGAGGAGCCACCTCCAGCAGCCATAGAAATTATCGACGGCGAGTCGCACTTCGAAATCAAGCAAATCATTGACTCAAAGATCGACCAGAGGTTCCGGACTAAGCTCCGGTACTACGTTGAGTGGCTCGGATATGAGAACACTGACGATCAGTACGCCTGGGTTGGTGCGGACGACTTGGACGCGGCTGAACACATCGACAACTTTCACTGGCGCTTCCCTAACAAGCCCGGACCTGATTATTAACTCATCACACAAAACTAAACCCAAGAAAAAATTCTTCTGTTTTCTCATTACAACACTCATTCAATTATTTACAAATGTCTATTTCGTCCTTAGGCCTCCAGGGCCTTCATTCCTCGTTTCCGGGTCGCTTCCGACTTTTCCAGAGCCAGACCCCATCTCCTCATCCGAATCGTCCAAAACGAAAACTCCACCCTCCTCGTGGAATCCGGCTGGCGCTCCCGGCTGCAGCACGAGGGTTTGGAACTCGCGCACCTCCGACTCCCTCTTCACCTGCACCGGAGGCTCTGGTGCTGGCGAAGGAGTGGGCGGTGGAGGCGGGACAAGCTCCGGGTCCGGCTTGAAGGTGAGGACTGTAATGGTCCTCGCCTCCACGGCCTGGCTTGTGACTCTGGACGTTGCGGCAATTTCTTCTTCTTCGGGCCCTTCGGGCCCCTCTGGCGCATCCACATCCATCCCTTTGTCCACCATCTGGACATCCTCCTCGCCTTCCAACACCCAGAAGTCTGCGGGCCAGGATGGAGAATGGGCTTGGGGCTCAACCGGAGCCTCCGGTTCCGCCTCCGAGTCCTCCGACTCGGCGGGTTTGACCTCCTTCTCCTCCACGATGGGACTTCCGCGCTTCATCAACCTCTGGCACTTCGCCGGGCACGCGTCCTCATCTTCTTTCTCCTCCTCCTTGGCGAGCCAATCCAGCTCCGCCTCCTCCACCAGGGAAAAGTCCTATGCGGAGGCCTCCATGTCCGCTGCCATCCACCGGATATATGAACCTCATCTACATCCATGGAATTACCATTCTGTATGATGTGTGCTTTCAGAAAGAGAGAGGTGTCAGGGAGAGGAAATGTGCCAGCCTTGAGACTTGTGCTTGACAATGGGATCTGGAAGAGATCAGCTTGAAAAGAAGATAAAGCAAGAGGATGTACCGTCCGAGCTTTGCGTGCGCAGTGCTGCAAGAAATCTGAGTACTCTGTCACGTGAGTAACAAGCACAGCATGTACATGGCCTTCTGGAAGAGGATCTGTGAGCCAGAGACATGCAAGCCATGTTGCCCTTACCTGTCTTTTGGCTTGGGAAGGCATGTAGGGAAGAAATGAGAGAAAAAGAAGGTGGAAAAGAGGATAGAGAGTATGGACCACGCCACAGATTTGGCTGAATTGAACGACGAGATCTCTTGCTGTCACACTGTTCGATCGCACAGAAATTCATTGGGAGAAGCATGACCGTGTATGCGAGTTGGCTCCCTGTCGCGACATCACTCAGCACATGTCATCTTCCTAAATAAGCTATATGTAAGAAGGCGCAAGGGAATTCTGCCGCTTGACAGAGGCCCATTGGCCCCAAGCGAAAAAGTGGGTATCTGAGGAAAACTACAGGGCAGAAAAATAGTAGAGAAACCCGAGACCGAGACAAAACCACAAGATGAAGGGCCAGACGGAGAGGAAACTGAGCTTGAACTAGAGGACCAAAAAGGATGAAAGAAAAAATAATGAAAAAAAGCCACAAGTAATTGATGTAGGAGATACCAGTGAGCCCGGAACAAGAATGAATTCTCTGTGGTACCTACCAGTTAGAAGAGGGAGACAAGAGGATGCAATCCACTTACAAACGGTTCAAGGGTGCAGATCCAGGTGGACAGAAAACAGAAAGAGAATACGGCGTGCAGTAAACTTGAAAGTTGATGGTGGATTTCATCAAAAATAAGCTACAAAGTTCTTGGTGTGTTTTTTGGTCAGAATTCCATCCCCTATCCAATGGGATCCCCAAAGGATCCAGAAACACTATATGTGTTACATAACAGAATCAAAGATTGAAACAACTATATCTCGGTCGTTTGTTATTCGTTCTCCCAGTTTTTGGTATAGTTCCTGTGCAGAATATTATCCTCTGTCCAGTGAGACCATCCGCGCCTGCCTAGCTCAATCGGATAGAGCGTCAGACTTTTAAGGAGTCTCCCAGGTGGGTTACCTGTTCAATCTGAAGGCTGCGAGTTCGACCCTCGCGGTGGGCTAGTATGTTTTGCCTTATCTTTCGCTTATGATAATTGTTTTATTTTCTCCTTTTTACCCTTTTCCCTTTCCGTCAACTGTCCTTCCGACAGAATATCGCTCCATTGATTTAAATTGTAAACCCGTCAGCTTACCTTATACTAAGTAATACACAACGGGCTTTGTTTCAAAATGCCATTACCACCCACCATCAAAGAAACGGCCTGGGTTATGACAGTGGTTCCTTTGCGACAAAAAGTCCCCGCACCGTGGTAGGCGGTGCATGTATTGTTACCCAACACATCGCAAGCAACTTCGAATTCCCAGCGACAATTGTCCCTGCTTCTCGACTACCATCTCGCCGCGATAACGTTGGGATCGAAACACTCGCTGAATCTAGATGCATGCGGGGTGTAATATAGTCCTGTGGAAAGAAGAGAAGCACCCGCAACAAAAAGATAAACGTTTACCGTTAGCTTGGACCATAATACCGCTTCCAAGCAGGCCGGGAAAGGAAAATGGAAAGAATCGGCCGGCCAGGAAGCGGGCAATAGTGAGCCATTCTCCTGGTCCCAAAGGTCTCACACAAACGCCTCAAACCAGAAAGGAAACCACAAGTTGAGAAACAAGTGACCAACACATCGATTGTAAGAATACAAGGAAATTGCGTGGGGCGATGAGATCCGGCAATGGAGCCATGTAGATGCGGCGGCCGAGAAGGGATCGCGGCAAAGGTACCGCAGTAGGTCCACAGCAAACGATTTTTGCCATTGATAAGAATTTCGGAAGGTAGTCACTAGTATTTCAGCAGCCGGCGGCAGTGTTGAAATTTCACGCCGAAACGGACAAATTGTGGAGGGTTCTGAAGGTCTCATCAAAAAGATAGACTATGTCGTAGATTACCAATGTGATTTCAATAGCTGCTTATTCACCGGTCCGTCTTGAGCGATTTCTCCGAGAGTAAGCGTCACCAGGTCCGTTGAGGAGGACGCCGCCTTATTAAAGGAATTGCAGTTGGATCACCGAGGCCACGAGGAAGCCAAGTGGAGACAAGCAAGCGCCGGAGAGGGATACTCGAATACTACAACGGTACCGAGCCAAGCTCCGTGCGCACGGCGTGCACGGGATGTGGCATAGGCGGGCGGCTGACGTTGACATTCGTAGGGTAAGAATGATGTTGAGAAGGAGCCGAAAACTGGGGCGAGGAACATAGAGACGCTGGCCAAAGCGGTGAATCCGACCTTATCTAAGGCACAGGAAAATGTCAATGATACGACCACGAAACAAAAAGGGTCTAAGAAAGGTTTCGATACTATGACAGACTAGCGCTAGCGAGTATTCGTCTCTATGAAGGCTTTCCCAGTTCAGACAGAAAAGTTAACAGTTTCTGCATTTGGCGGCGAGAGTCGAGGGGGCGTCGCTTTCAGCCCTCGGTCCCGGGGTTATGAACGAGGCTGTGGCGGCTGACATCGGGTGGTTTGTAGTACCCAGTGAAACAACTTGTGAGTTAGAAGGGAATTATTTTTGGGGCAGGTAAGGAGGTTCAGAAAGCCGCATGTGCTGAAGGAAGTATAACCGACGATTTGGAGTGGTCCGGCTGGAGAGGAGCGAAAGTTCGAGGGGAACCAGAGGGTGCGGTCAAAATCTGAATGGAAGATAGGTCATAATAAATATTGCAGAGGAGATTTAACAGTGTTTCGGGACTGGTTCGGGGCGGCCATTGCTGCCCTTGTGCCACAACTGGAGCCTTTGCGGCCCGACAAATCGGCAGAGCTCTTGAGAAACGAAAGGGGTGGCATAAGTTGCGTAACGAACAACTTCCTTGTAGGAACTCGAGTCTCGACTTTCGATGCGTCAGAATTTTGAATGAGGATCCTAGGAGGAGGGGTGTTTTACTGCAGAGGTCCCAATCAGGAACAGAGACAGAGTCTGACAGAGTGACCAGAAATGATGATCAACCTATTCTTCCGCCATGGCCCTGCAATGTAGCGCATTTGCAGAATGAGGGGACCGATTGAATGACACGAATCCATTGAAATTAGGGGAGAACCAGATTCAAACAAGAGTGATCTGAGGGAAACGGACGAGAATTTGCGAGGGTGGGAGAGATTGAGGAACGGAAGCAAAATTGGTTTGATCTTGATCGTTCTTTTTGCCACAAAATCCACCTTTCGCTAGTTCTTATTTAGATCTCGGTCGACCCCCTCGTGCCAACTGTAGCAGCCAGAACAGTCGACAACAGTTCTGAGGAAAGGTCTCGAAGCCACTCAACACGGGACCATATCGTGCGCTTTCGTGGCACCTGGGATGGGGACGTAGGCCGCAATGGGGCCTCACTGCCAAGGCACCCGGGATGTTGACGTCGGCAACAGTGATCCCCCAAGTTCGGAGCATACGAATGGACCCCCGTCGGCAGTCAGAGCACCATACGATATTCGTCTCGGACTACATGGACGTCTTGCCAGGCTTTCGCCGTACGATAAATCACCGAAATTCTCTTAGACGACTGTCAAGCATACATGTCGGGAGCAAGATTCTTGAAGCTTGTATTTATCGGTCACTAGACTTCTTGTGCTTCCAGTTAACAGAGTCTGTGAATCTCAATGAAAAATCTATGGGTCTTGATCACACTGGCAGTCTGTATCAGCTCTGTTTTGGATGGTCGGTCTCGAGGAATTTTGGATGATGGTGGCACGTCCGGGATCGCTCCCTCCTCTAGAATGACTGGAACTTGCTCTTGGGTTACGGGCGGGCCTCCGGATCTGTGTCAATGGTTTACTACGAACTGTCCGGGTACACACAATGAAGCCTTCCTTTTTGAATGAACATGCCGCGATTTAGGCCGGTGCGAGCCTAAAAAGTGGCCCTCTGTCAAATTAGCTTCCACCTCCTTCTGTTCTGCCACCACAGCAAAAACTCCCCTTCATGTCTAGTCCGTATCCTTCATTCTCAAGTCATTGGTGGGTGCCCTGTCGACCTTTTTTATTACAGTTCGTTATGAGTTATCCGCCGCCGTCCCGTCGTCGCCCGTCACCCACGTAAGGCTCAGAGGTTTTCACTACGCGTTCATGAATTAATTCCCGGATGGCCTGTCTTCCAGACAGCAGCTCCACCCATTCAGACGTCCCCTCCCGGCCCGACCACGGCCCCTGTTGCGCCCACCGGCTGCCGCCTAGCAGGTGTGTTCCACGTCCCTCTGCGTCGGTTCTTTTAATCCTGCCCACCTTGATTTCATCCTCCTCAGCGCGCCGTGCTTTTCGTTTGTGCCCGTGTCCGTCGCGGCGCTTAGCATCGTCAATAGTCATACGGGCCACCTCCCCATATCTTGGAAATGTGGTGAGTGCCACAACCCGTGTCGATTCACGCAGCTGATTCCAGTCTAGTCTCGCCTTCACTGTGTATATTAATCAAGACCATCGCGTCACGCGTGCCGCACAAAACTTGAAAACCAGCGGGGTATATGTCGATATTGCTTTGCATTCATTGAATCCCTCCACTCCCTCGACGGCGTTGTTTCACCGACTTAATTGTCTGGATATGAGTGCCGCACGATAGTATTGCTCCTTCCTTTAACACGCACATAGTCTAGTGTTTTTGTCATTCTCCGATTCAAGAATGTGAACTTGACTGGTTGGTTCTGGTGACATCGTCACTTGGTTGGTACCAATGACTAGAAGGCTGAATGATAAAAGTCCGACAGTGCCAATCGCAAGAAAAGTACATAAACGGTTTCGGAAACAAAAGAACTATTAGCCCACCGCGAGGGTCGAACTCGCAGCCTTCAGATACCCGCCTAAGTTAAGAGTCTGACGCTCTATCCGATTGAGCTAGGCGGGCGATGTGAAAGATGTTGAAGTCACCAGGAAGCATATCAAGACTCTTGAATCCAAATCAGAAATGGGATTTAAGGAGCCCGGGTCGATTTCACCAACGTATCCGTTGGTGAAAGTGTGAGCCAATGGTCACCCGAGCATTGTTGGAAAATCCAAGTCTAATTCTTGCCGACATCCCTCATTCATCTTCAGCTTGTTACGATTCTGATTTGATTCCAATTGTACAATGAAAGACAACGAAAAATACAGCAAAAGAAAAGTCATACAACAACAGAAAATACAGCAAACAGAAGTCGTACAACAAAATGAAAGGCAACAAAAGACGAATAAACAGAAATCCCGAGCAGCTTCAACGACGGGAGACCGCTTTCCGGCTCGACAAAGCCTTGACTCGCTCGCTGCCCCGACGATGCACCATCCAGATGTGACGTGCATGGTGTGGCGGGAGGTCGAGGAGCGTGTTGACCTTCAAGAACCTGCGACCTCTGCAAGTCTTTGAAGAGCAGAGTTTGCAGTTGTATCCCCGCACGTGTAATGTCCCATTGAGTAACGCAGTGATATTTGTTGAAGGAAAGAACTGCGGAGGAAGAGTCGTTCCTGGGGGCCCGCAACAAAGAACCAGGTATAGTGGTTTGGAGCCTGCCCATGAATTAGCTATGAAAGACAGGCAACAATTCAAGAGCACGTATGCGATTTAAACCACTGCAATAGCATCTCCGACTGACTCACCAACCATGCATCGCGGGAGTCAAACTCCAGGGGGAGAAAGTCCGGTGGACACTGGGACTTGGTGGCCAGGACGGTGTCCACCGCCAGGGTGAGTAGGTCATATGTGTTGCTTTGCGCGTCCTCTTTGACATAGATGTCGGCGTCCGAGGTTAGAAAAGGGAGGAGCGAGAGGTAGTCATGGGGCATGGCGCTCTGCAGCGCGTGGTGTTGGGAGTCGAAAATCGTCTGAGCTGAGATCGCAATGAGGGCCATCTCCGATAAGACATCTGCTTTATGTCCCAGAGCAGCTAGCATCTCATCGTTATTGAGGATCTCGTGTATATATTGGACGTGTTCCATGTCGCAGAAATTTTTTCCAGTCAAGTCACGCACCACACGATCGACGGGGCATTTGTGAGCCACCGCGTTGTGGCCGCCAATAACGGAGATTCCGCAGACGCTGCAGGTGCCTCGCCTCAGGGCTGACAAGATGTCCTTGATGAGGACTTTTCCCGCTCCCATCGTGTCCCTCACTGCTTTCACCAGCCTCTTGCGCAGCACTACAACTTGGTCCACGTAAACATCGACGTGATGAGCGCGACGCCACTTCCCAATCGCCTGTTGGTTTTCTTGAGCCGCGAGGTGGGACTCTTCCGTCCGTCCGAGGGCATTAGATGCATACACGACATCCGTGCCATCCTTCAAGGACAGGAACCACTCCTGGAATGAGTCACCGAGAATGGGATGAAGAAAGGAACCGAGGTGGTCGGGATCGGGGGGTAGGTCAAAGGACTCGAGCTCCCAAGCTCTCTCGAGGATGGCGTCGAGCTGCTCTCGTCGCTGGCGGCCCCGTGGCGCGGCTAGGATACCCTCTCGCCTCGTTTGACCCTGACCGTCGGAAGCAATCCATTTGTCGTGCCGCTCCTTTGATGCCTTCAGTGCACGCAAGAAGTTCAGCACGAGTTCCGCGTGTCGAGCCTTGTTCTTGGCCTGCTCCAACGCCTGAGACACTCCTGCCTCTCGCAACACTTCCTCCGCCTTGCCTTTGACCACCTCCAGCCAAGCGCGCGTCTGTACCGGATCGGTCCAGTCTACGGCAACAGTGAGGTCACGAAGTCGTGCTGCGGTCGTCTGGGTGACGACGTAGACGACACCCTCGACGAGAAGGTCAACGTCCCACCGAGGACGCGCGAGACTGAAGTCATATTTGATGCGACCATAGTGGGGGTGCGGGATGTGGAGTGCCATTTGAGCGGGGTTGCGGCCGGTTGGGATGAGCTTGACGGTTCCTATCTCAGCAGTAAAGTCGCCCCTCCTGAAAGTGCGATACTTTGCGTCAGGGAAGGCGCATTCCATGCCGACCGGGGTGACGCCAGCCTTGAACTGCTCGCGCTGCTCTGGTTTAAGCAAATCCCATACAGTTACCAGGTCGCCCGAGCGCATCATGGCCGCGACGGGGTTTGACTGCATGACGATAATGAGTGGCTGGTAGACCCCCAGCAACCTGCTCAGGAAGAGTACGTGGAGCAGGTATAGGATGTGGCGGAGGAGCAGTCGCCAGAAATTCAAGGTTGCACCGACATGCACAGCGAGGCAATCAAGTGATAAATCACCGGCAGTGGGAATATCAGGCTGCAGGAGTCGCAGGATGTGTCGATGCTCGTGAGGACCCCGGCCAACAGTGGCTTGCCAATACGCTCCACACTGTCCATGTTACACCTCCGCTGGGACGTCTTTTGCGATCTCCATTTTGCCGTTATTAGATCGGATGACGTCTGCCGCATATTGCTTGTACATTTCCAATATAGCAGGGTTGATGGGGGAGTCTGTAAAAGGAGCCAAGAAACGGTATTCGTCGTCTATGCGGCTGCGGATCGTTGTCTCGAGGATGAGGTCCCGGTCTTGACCGAGCGGTGTAGGGTCGACGTCAGGGAGGAATGCCCGTGCAAGGTCGAGAACAGAGCGGTGCTCTGGGGAAGGAAGATGGACGGGTAAGAGCCCGCCGTGGTCTGAGTTGAGGGACGCGGCACCGCAGGTAGCCCGGACGATTCGCTCTAACAGGCTAATTGTCTCGGAGGTCCTCACGTCGAGCGGACCGCTGATGGGGGTGTCGAGATCTCGGAAGTGGTAGGTCTCCCATTTCACCTCGGGGTTTGCATCCAGCAGGTTGACTACCCGCACATTGCTCTCCCTCTCGACATCGTCCCAGCCCCGATTGGTGCACGCCGTCGTGTGTGTGATCCCGTTATACAAGAAACACGTGGCATGTGCGCTCAGGCGCGGCGCGCAGGCCAGGACACACGCGATTTCCTTCACTGTCGTGTTGTCGAAAAAGCTGTCCACGGCCTCCTCTAAACCATACTCGAGCATGGCGGCTCGGAATGACTGATGGATCTTCTCTGGCTTCTCGCCCACCAGGAGAAGTTGGACAATTGTGTTTGCCGCATCGGCGGGGTATGCCGCCAAATAGCGATGCAAAGCTGCCGCCGCCATGGGGCCCGGCACCGAAAAGTGTCGGATATAGTTGAGGCTTTTGAGCCCGGGGGGGGCGTCGCCGCGGTTGCTAAGTACGAGAGCTCCACTGGCGAGGAAGGGGAGGACATCCCAATTGGTAGGGCATGCAGCAATGGCGGCGAGGAGGTCTAGGGTGCGTGTCAGGATGGTACCCCAAACAGCCGCCGTGGCAGGGATGAAGGTCAAGTTCTGGACAGAGCAATAGGCGTCTACCACGCTCTGTACGATTGCAAGGGAGGACAAATGTCCTGCAATGGCGCTCTGCGTAGCTTGCTCTCGTTGCGCGATCGCCGTGAAGCTGTCTGCCCAGACACCCGCCACCATTCCGCTCTGAGCACGACCACTAGCCTGCCGCTGAAGAACGGCTAGCTGAGGGAATTCTATGGCGGCCCGGCGACGAGCCTCGCGGCGTAGTGCGTTTTTGTCTTGGGATGTGTCTGTGAACCCGTATTCTACTTCTGGGTCGGCATCCTTGATCTTTGTCAGTAAATAAAACAAAGAAAAAAAAGGGTATAGCGCACTTCCTCCTTGCCTTTCCCCGTTTTCGCTTCCACCTTGTGCTCCTCGACCTTTTTACGCTACAGGTTTTCTTTTTAAAAAGAAATCAAATATATATATATGAATATATGCATACCTTCTTCTTGTCCTTCCCTTTCTTCACCGTGGAGGGCTCCTCATCTTCGTCCTCATCCTGTATGTCTTCTTAAAAGGGAAGAAAAAAGAAAAAGAAAAAATGTGCACCTCCGGACGCTGCTGCGTCTTGTGCTTCCCTTTTTTCGTAACCCCGCTGTCCTCACCGTCCTGGAGGTTATTGGGGAAAGGAAAATGTTAGTTGACCTGGTGAAACAATGACAAAAAAAAAAGGATCGTGTGGATTGGGCGACAGGGCGCGCCGACCGGTGTGCAAATCGAGGAATAGGATGTAGAAGATATACGAACCTCATCTACATCCATTAAATTACCATTCTGTGCGACGTGTGCAGTCAGAAGGAGAGAGGCATCAGGGCAAGGAAATGTGCCAACCTCGAGACTTGTGCTCGACGACGGGATCTAGAAGAGATCAGCTTGAAAAGACGGCAAATCAAGACGACGTACCGTTCGAGCTTTCCGTGCGCGGTGCTGCAAGAAATCTGAGTACTCTGTCGCATGAGTAACAATCACAGCACGTACATGGCCTTCTGGAGGAGGCGAAATGGCCTGGAAGAGGATCTGTGAGCCAGAGACGCGCCAGCCGTATTGCCCTTACCTGTCTTTTGGCCTGGGAAGGCATGTAGGGAAGAAATGAGAGAAAAAGGTGGAAAAAGAGGATAGAGAGTATGGACCGCGCCGCGGATTTGACTGAATCGAGCGACGAGATCTCTTCCTGTCACAAATTGTTCGATCGCGCAGAAACTCTTTCCATATTATTCATTGGGAGAAGCGTGACCGCGAATGCAAGTCGGCTCCCTGTCGCGACATCGCTCGGCGCGCGTCATCTTCCTAAATAAGCTATATGCAAGAAGGCACAAGGGAATTCTGCCGCCCGACAGCAGCCCATTGGCCCGAAGCGAAAAAGCGGGTATCCGAGGACATCTACAGGGCAGAAAAATAGTAGAGAAACCCGTGACCGAGACGAAACCACGAGATGGAGAGCCACCAGCAGTTGACGAAGAAAAACTGGGTTCGAACCAGAGGACCAAAAAGAAAGAAAAAGTAACGAAAAAAAGCCCCAAGCAATTGACGTAGGAGAGACCAGTGAGCCCGGAACAAGAACGAATCCTCTGCGGCATGCGCCAGTTAGAA